GACTCAATACATTTCAATGGCTTTGCGAAGTCAATTTTTGCAAATTTAAGTGTGTCATAAAAGGGTCAAAAATGGTTTTAAATGCTTGGATTAGCTTCTGCACCCTCTAAAACGGATGCAAAAGTTAATTTGGCTTTGATCTGACTTTTCGTTAATTTATGGTGAATTTTTCCCCCCAACTTTTGACAGCTGTCAAAATCTGACAGCTCCATTGTTTCCTATGGGGGAGAAAAAAATTCACAAAAAATTAACGAAAAGTCAGATCAACGCCAAATTAAGTATGCACACAGTTTAGAAGGTGCACTAATGATTCCAAGCATTTAAAACCGTTTTTCAACATGATAAGACACTTTTGTAATTGAAAAAATGAACATCGTTAAGTGAAGCAGGGGACCTAAAAAAACCCGTTAAGCGAAGCATGGTCCCAAAATCGCTATGTGAAAATCGCCCATAGGGAAAAATGTTATACGAAGCACAATCTGACTCTGAAAAAATAAACGTTAAGCGAAAAAAAACGTTAAACGAAGCAAACGTTATGCGAGGCACCACTGTATTCCTGCATTAAGTGGCAGAGAGGAGGGCTAATCGAATCCATCTCAAGACCAGATCCTGAAATGAGGATCAACTGCAGGACGACTCCGCCCCCAAACCTTGTGTTGCTTCTCAACTTTTTCTGAAAGGGAGGCAGGAGAGAAACAGGAGAGAGAAGGTGGTGGAATTTTCCTTCTTGGGATGTTTCCTAGCAGAGGCTGAAAGGGAGATCTCCCCAGGAAGGGTCTCCTGGTGGGCGTTGTTCTTCCCGCAAGGAAAAAAAAAACTTCTGGTCTTTGGGTCGTGAAGGCACAATTCAGGGCCATCGGCTGTGCAAAAGACCTGCCTCTCCTTCCTAGGGATTCTCCCTCCTGCCTCCAATTCATGGCTCTTCATTGGGTGGAGTGAAGGGTGCTTTGGAAAGAGGCCGAAGGAACTCCGGTCATTTCCACATGGAGGGCAGGAGGAAAGAAGGACCGGAAGGCAACCCAGCCTCTCCTTCTGGGGCGTTCCCTCTCCTGGCAGGTTTTTTGCAGTGCCTCTGAAGGGTCCATTTAAAATGAAGCCGTCTCGAAATGCTTTCTTTTACAGCAAGGACAGCTGACACCAAGACTCACACCCTCAGTTGCCACCTTTCCAACCCCTACGAGGTTTAGAGTGAGCTCAGAGGGAAGAGCGAAGCCTAAGCAAGGTTGGGGGTTGGAAGACAACATGCCAGAAAAGTCCTGAGATCTGAACTGTGCCTGCCTTGTGTTGGCAGCATCCCCCCAAGACACAGGACACTGGGCACAGAGGGCACAAAGGTGGAGCTTCCCCTTTAGAGACGCCCCCTTTGTTGACATCCTTGATGGGACAAAAATAACAAATGCTCCCATGAGAACAGAGGGCATGGTTCAACTGTCAGTCCACTACATCATGCAGGCTCTGGTGTTTTCTAGATGTTGACTTTGTGTTTTAAAAATTTACATAAGTTGTCTTGGGCCATTTTAAAGGAGAAAGGTGGGGTAAAAATATTTTAAATAAATAGTGGGTAAAATACACTGTTGTCTGCTGGTGCTTTCATCGCAGGTCCTGTTGCTCTCTGGTTCCCTGCTGTTGCCCCCACCTCACTGGGACGGGGGGAGCTT